GGGGGGGGGGGGGGGGGCTGCTGGTGGGGGTCCAAGTACGGAGCCCCTCGGGAGAGAGAGCACGCACATGTGTTTGTGTGTGTACTGGAAGGGTTGTGTCATCAACGTTCGGCCCTGGGAGAACGTAGTCCCCATACTTGACCTCTATCCTCTGCGGGATTGCGCAGAGGAGCGCTAACAACCAAGGCGACAGCCCGGTAATGGTCAAATTCCGTGCTGGTCGTCCTTAGTTCGAATATCTTAGCTCCGAGTATTTTTTTACACACGGGTTGACGCGGCACACGTACTCCCTTCATTCTCCCGTGCACATTTGAGCACAACACGCAACCTCGCGTAGCTCCTTGGTATGGGCATGGTATGGAGCTGAAAATGTTGAAAATTCGCCACCTTCTTCCCGGCTCTTTGTTTTCCATGCGTAATGATTGGCTTTTTATTCGATGGCCTTATAATGCCATGCCGTCTACTCGCGCTCGCAGAGTTCGGCGCGTGACGCCAGAGCCTGTCGACTTCACCTGCCCCCCCCCCCNNNNGCGCTTGGTGATGTGAGAGCCTGGTCCGGTGAGAACCCGGCGTGCTCCGTCCCGGCTTTGTAGGGATGCGAGGTCAATGGGGTAACGACTACGGCATGCACGACTATGAGTACACCCCCCTCCTCCCCCTCCCCCGTCCTCTCGAGGACGCGTGGTCAATGGTCTAAGGCATGCAACACACGAGAGTACCCCTCCCCCCTCTCCTTGATGAACCTCTCAGGCTGGGCCCCGCCAACCTTATCGTGCCGTTCGTGGCCTGCGGAGACTTGAGTGGCTTCGATGCGGACAAGTCTTACCCGCTTGAGGAGCCCAGGGAGGAGGGGAAGGACGGAGATTCCCAGCTGACCTCACAGCGAGGTTACCAACGGATCCCCCCGGCGCAAATGCCGATCCGACCGCCCCACGAAACTTACCGCATGCGAAAAGCGGGAGAGCTTTGACGTCGAGAAACTGATGAGCCGCTGGGGTCTCGGGGCCTCGGAGCTGCACAGCTGCGGCCCGCAAATAAAAAAAACGTATGCGTTATGGGAATGGGGCTGGGCCTTTGTCGAAAAACAAGAAAAATCGACCAAAAAGCACACTTCAGCCGTGGATCCTTCACAAAGTTCTATGAAACGACCAATGAAATTGAGCCTCGACCGCAAGTGTATCATCTCTCATCGAGCAAAAAGAGGTATTGAAGAGTCGCCGGGTGGGGAGAGCCGGCCAATCGCGTCCTGCGGTTGCACCCAAGTCGGGAGCAGATGAGCCCAACGTCAGGACACCTGGATTTGGGCGCGTTCAAAGGGCGGCAAGGTTCCACTCGCGTGCGCGGGCTAGCAATTCATGTGGAGGGAGCACCTTGGTCGATGTTCGGTTGCAGAGTGGCTCGACTCACGGGCTGTGGCGAAAGGCGGTCGGAGCCCGCCTAAGTCCTCCTCGAGGTACTAGGCGTTTCGTGGACCACGAGGGCGGAGGAATTTTCTCGCCTCGCCTCGCGGTATCTTCGTGAACAAATTGCAAGCCAAGTGCAGATTCAAGCAAGGCACGGCGAAGGGCGGCCACCTCGACTGACACTTGGGCGGTTTCAACGGCAAATGAGCTTTCAGCAGACTACAATATTCTGCCGCTAGGCGAGGCAACATCGAGTGCCTTCTCGGCGACAAGGCTGGATATCCTAGCCTTATTATTCATATCGCCGTGAGAGTCGCCAAACCGTTTCCGAGTGTGCATGTGCAATCCATGTCGCAATGAAACGACGCAGACCTCGAAGCTTGCTGTAGGGGTGTCCTACAAGCCCGCTTCCCAAGGCCACCCGCACGAGCGCGAAGAACAAAACGAATGTGAGCTTCTGGTGTCGGGACCACTCGTCGTGGAATCAGGAACAACGATAGAAAAATATTTCAATATGTTACGAGTGAAAGCGGACATTGACGCACGCTCAACACACCGTCAACCCGTACCGAGAGGAATACCGCCGTACAGTATGCCGGCTGTCACAAAAATTCGCAAGTGCCTTCCCTCGCCATCTACTATAGCAACACACCAAGAACACGCACGCAAGCACGCGGCCGGCGCTCCGCAGCAAGACCATTATCGGTACCCTTGCGGACGTCACAAAACAATCCGAAACATACTTATGCTGGACACACCCGTACGCAAACTACAAACAGAAATGAACCACAGGAAATCGTTCAGTCATCACGCCCCACGCCGCAGGTTTATCATCACAGCCGTCACCGCAATTTGCACCAAACGTCCCCACCCCTTTACCACGCAGGTATACCCGAAAATCAATATGCACACAGGACGTTTTCTCTGTTCCCAAACGCCCGAAACACGCAGCAAAACCGCGCTCGTAGCCCGGCCGGCCCTTCTTCTCTATCTCCACGCACCGCATCGGTCTGCGACGTCATTTTCTCGAGTCTCCACGCCAAGCAGGCACTTCCATAACCACAGGCGCGACCGTTCACTGCGAAAGCGAAGCAAAGACGTCCCAAGCCCAACTCAACCGATTCGTCAAATCAGATTCCTAAGACCAGATCTTCCTAAACAACGCCCGCGTCGACAGCATGCGCCGNGGGGGGGGGGGGGGGGGGGGGGGGGGGGGGGGGGGGGGGGGGGGGGGGGGGGGGGGGGGGGGGGGGGGGGGGGGGGGGGGGGGGGGCGATGCCGAAAAAAACTCTCTCCGGAAGAACGGGTGTCAGATGGGGAAAGACAAGGTTGTTGCGGTCCCAGCCGCCGTGCCTCTCGTTGGTCGCTGGACTGTACCCGGCCGATCGTGTAACGTCACGTCAGTCACTTCCAGTCCTTCTCGCGTTGCCCTCGTCGTTGCTCCTGTCGTCGTGGTTGTGCTCGTTGGTTCTGTCGAGATCGCCGTGGCTGAGATTGTTGCGGTGGCGGCGGTGGTTGCTTGTTGGGTGGTAGGCCGGTTGCCCTGGCCGTCACCTGAACGTGGAAAATCCGGCAATAAATCGTTGGTATATTTATATTTTAGTTCGAAGTACCTGGGCTGGGCTCAGAGTTCGGGAGGGTGATATCGCGAAAAATCGCCCGAGACATCAACACACCAAATTTTACAAACATCAGTTGAGCTGGAGAACGACTACATCAACACCATTTCGGGTGTCGCCACACCAGTCTGGCTCTGTCTGTCCTTTCCCGGCTTACCCTTTCCACTGCCTCTGTACCGTACCATACACGATTGTAGTCGAAGGCGAGTATTTGTTCTTCAAACGGATCGGTTCTGATTGCCCTGTAGGTTGTACGTACTCCGCACCAAAAGTATACTAGTCGAAGCTGTGGAAGTCCCAAACGATCTTCGCTCCTTGCAGAAAATGAACCAGGCAGCTCGTTCCCTTTTGCTAATGACAAACACTTAAAATAATATCGAAGCTAGCTCGGCATAGTCTATTCGGAAACAATTAGCGCGGAACTACGTGCGATACAGGAGTAGGAGTAGTGCAGTCGGCCGAAATCATGCATGTCACGCGATAGTATTTTTTACAAGCACACCCACCGAGAGGTTGTTGCTGGTCGACAGGCCCCCCAACGAGCCGATCGCCCTGCGCTGCGGTCCGGACAGCAACTCTTCAGCATCCACCAGACCATTCTTCACCGCCGCCCTGTTCGGAGTTATTCAGAAACAGGTTTCGTTTTCAAGGCGTTCGGTGGTTGCGTTCTGCGAATCATGGTACATCGTTTCTTTCGGCGTTCTACTATTCTACCTGTGTACGCTATTATTCACCACCGGCCGACGATGGCCAAAGATCGATAAACAGACCAACCGACCGACAGACAGACAGATAGACCGACATACAGACAGACAGACAGGCACGCAGACAGGCAGATAGACCGACCGACAGACAGACAGGCAGGCAGGCAATCAGACAGGCAAGTAGACAGACAGATAGACAGATAGACAGACAGACAAATAGACAGGCAGACAGACAGACAGACAGACAGATAGATAGACAGACAGACAGGCCGACAGGTTGTGTTGAAGCGATACTTCAAACATCAGGTGGAACTCTCAATCCAGCATCGCCCCCCCTAGAGGAAACGATGTTTTTTCACGGAAAACGTGGTGTTGACGCAAGCACAACCCACACGCATATCTATAACTACGAGGACTCTGCCGCAGTCTCAACCTCTTGATTCGTGCTTGTGTTTGATGATGGAACCATACGCGTAAACACCATACTACAACGATGATGACAAGAGTAAACAAAACAGCAAGCCAGAAGAGCTCACTACAACCAGGCAGAGACAACCCTCAATCCACTGCCATATATACATGACCAAACATGATGCCACACTGCGGTACGCGTCGAGACACCCAACCCAATAGCCCCGTCTCTTCACCTCTTGTTGATGTAGGCCTTCTTGAAGTCTTGGTATACTCGAGGCTGCACTCTGGCCACCTTACGAGCGAAATCAGCATCTCCTTGATGCAGAGCGATGTTAAGGCCCACAAGCGTGATGGGGCGGCCTCTGCAAAAATCACAATAAAAAATGTAGAGCAAAAGAGCGACTCAGATCGAGAGACGGAGGATGGCAGAAAGGGTACCATGATCAAGTGCACGGTAAGGCTGGGCGAAGAGACTAAAAATAGACATATGAAGGAGAGGGAATATCAAGTAGCAAGTCGGAGGATGCTACACCTACACAAGTCACATACGGGCGTGAGTCAGACGAAGAAATCACGACAACAAACGCCATTTTGGGCGAGTGTGCGTGCTTCTGCATGGTCCATTCACCTTCTCATCAAGAAATGACACCGTAGAGTAGAGGACCGGTGCATGTGTTCAAAATCTACAGGTACACAACGGGGGTACTTGGGCAGTGACAGTGACAATTTCAGGAGTAAGTGCAGGCATGCTATCAGTCAACAAGTCAACGATAGCAAACTTTTGACAGCAGAGGCAAACAATAAACGAAAATCCGGAAGTACTAGGTGCTGTACCAGAAGTATCAGCCAGGTTTCCACACAAGCAGCAAAAAGGAAGCTTGTAATTTCTTCTTGGGCCTCATTCACCTGATGGCGAGAAACTCTGTTCTCGGCTCTATGACGGTATCGAGAGGATACGAGAAGTACGCTGGAAAAGTCAGCACGTCGTACACGCTAAGACCCATCTTCTCCACCAGGTAGTCCATCTTGAAAAACCATCCAAAAGCACGAAGGCGGTGACGCAATTGATACAAAACAAGGGAGAAACGCAAGCAGCTCGACACGGCTTTCGCGGGAAGGAGAAAAAAAACACGAAAAAGGAGCCAAAACAAGCGCAATTTCATCTTTACCGCAAGTCTAGTCAGAAAGCCTCGTCCACGATACATACTGCGGGATAAACCGAGTCAGACGGTAGCGAACACATGTTTGAGGCCTTTACTTACCATGAAAGCCGCCACCATAACAAAAAAACGAAACACCGCCGCAGTGGCATTGTAATTATTGCAGCAACCGGGGCACCGAGAGCGTACGCTCAGCAACCAACCAATCAATCGAGACGCGGAACGGCAGTTTTGCATCAAACAGAAACACAAAGAGGCTAGAGGAAGGGAATAGTCACGTGGATGCCATCCCAGACGATCAATGGTTCCACAAGACCACAAGCGATGAGGACGTTCGCAACGGTCCCATGTAGTATAGGAACAACCGCTACTGTACCACAAAATGCACAAGTACCACATCCACAAACACCACACGGATTGTACCACAAAAATACGTGGGACAAAATTACGGGGTGCGGTATCCTGCGGTTCCTCTCATATTGGGGGAGGACCGTACCACTTAATAACGCAGGATATGGGTGTGGCAAGCATCCCGCGGTTCTTCTCACCTTTGGGGCGAGGTTGGTTTCGACGTCGTACCCCAGTACGGGGGGTAGCCTCGAGACGAAACGTCCGACGTTCTGGACCCCCAGCCGCTTGAGGTAACGGACAACCCCGGCCATGTGTCTCTCTCTCTCAAGACCGAGCAACGAGGGAAACGCCCTAGTGTTGTGGTAAGGTATCGTGGGCCCGAGGGTAGGCAACAGCAACGGGTAGCGGTAATGTCAACGCAAGTGGGGGGAAGGCTGCACGGCCTTGCCCTAGTTCGTGGTTGAAAAAAACGAAGGTTGTGTGGGCGTCGACCGTGCCAACCTGCTGAACCACAAACATCCCAACAGCAGGAGAAGAAGAGTCATGTATCCGAACCAGCGCACCTGATTATCTTGGCGATGTCGTTTCTGCTGATGCTCAGGTCTTCAGACAGGAAGGCCATGACGTCTTTCATGCGCGACAGCGGTAGGGCGAAGACCAGGGGGAAGGTCTGCAGCACTCGCGGCAGGTCTTCCTCAGACACGCCCACGTCTGACCACAAAAAACGAACCTGGAACAAAAAGTGAAAAAGAAAATAATGGCAAAACTCATGTCCAAGACATCATTTTCAAGGAATAAAGTTTTGCAACGAAGAGCTGCCTAACCAAGCGACGCAATCACTGCAAGGAACGTGGGCGGGGACAAAGGGGGCGAGACATGTTTTGTTGGTGTAGTTGTTGATGGTGTCGCATTTGCTGCTGGTGCACCTCGAATCCCTTTGTGCATCGTTGGTCCCATTCCCAGATGGGTCGCGTCCTACGTGGTCTCGCCCTAGTCCTTGTGCTACAAAATCGCAATAGAGCCCAGAGGTGCCACACTTGTTCAAGGATACACAAGGATACACCTCCAACACCTTCCACACTAGATACAGCAGCGTAGCTGCCAGACTAGGAATACTCAAGAAATAAGGTCGATTAGTCTCTTTCCCACGAGCGGGAATATCGTCGCCAAAGACGCACAACACGCAAAACATACAGTCACGCCGTATACCTACCAGCAATCAGCAGTTCTTTGGACCGGACACCAAAAACAAGAGTTACATCAACACCACCAACGACTTGCTACACATGGATTGGTCAATCGCACTCCTCACTCACTCTCGGAGCCAGCTCGCCCCTGATGCTGGCGCTGAGCACCTTCGGGTAGGCCCTGAGCACCCTCTCCACGTCCGCCACCCCCGCTATCCGCAGAAACCTCACCACTGGCAGCATCTGGCCGTCGATCGGCTGCAAGACCAGCCACGGGGCTTGCCGGATGAGAGAGCCGATGTTCGTAGACTTGATGCCCACCTTTGGTTGCAACGCCGGAAAAGAACAGGGCACGGGAGCTGTCCATTTCGGCGGTGTTGGTGGTGGAAGTAGCGATGGTACGGTTGGTAGGGTTTTGATGTCCGCCTTCCATATCATATGGTACAGCAGTGTTGTCGTCGTTTGTGTGTTGACGGTCGTACGGTGGTAGCGATGGTGGCATGTGAATCGTAGGCTTGCGAAGGATTGCATGGCCACCGTCCGAATCATGGCACAGTGTTGTCCTTGTCGTATTTGGCGGTGGTAGCCATGGTGGCACTTGCGTCATATGGTTAAAGTAACGGTCTTAAAACCCTTACACCATGTATTCTTGCCCCTTCGTCCCAGCATACCTCTGCCAATTCTTGGTTTGGACCGGCGGTACAGATGCCAACCGTGGTCACGTCACGGCCAGCATAGAGAATGGAGAATGCAATTTACCACAAAGACAATTCCTTGAAGAAACAAACTCAAGACAGGGGTGGGTCATACTCTCACTCTCACGCCTTGTTTTTCGATCCCAGCTTCTATTTTATCACTTTACGAATTTTCATGCATAAATGCAACAGTTTATTATTTCTGTTACACCCGTTTGAATGCAGAAAGAGAACCCTGTAAAACAATATGTTGACTTGAGGTGTCATCGCGACATGGATCGAACGGCGCTCGCTACAACAAGCGGTCGAGATGAACAAAAAACTATTACTTCCTCTGTATCATAAGTTAGGGTTATTATTTCTGTTACACCCGTTTGAATGCAGAAAGAGAGCCCTGTAAAACAATATGTTGACTTGAGATGTCATCGCGACATGGATCGAACGGCGCTCGCTACAACAAGCGGTCGAGATGAACAAAAAACTATTACTTCCTCTGTATCATAAGTTAGGGTTATTATTTCTGTTACACCCGTTTGAATGCAGAAAGAGAGCCCTGTAAAACAATATGTTGACTTGAGATGTCATCGCGACATGGATCGAACGGCGCTCGCTACAACAAGCGGTCGAGATGAACAAAAAACTATTACTTCGAAGTATACCTTCAACACTTCGAGTAAAACGCGTCCCGGTGGTTGCCCCCGAACCATAATCGTTCACAGCTCGAGCTGCAAGTACAATACCTCTTCGGAAGCGAGAAATGCAGCCAGCTGGAAGAAGCTTCCGGGGGGTACCACCAGCAGCTGCGGCCATCGCATAGCTTCCATCTTCAAATGTCGTCTTCGGAGCCCTAGCGTGCGAAGCACCTGCAACCAGTCATGGAACATAGCGGGGTTGTCGCGACATGACACATGTTGCAGACAAATGAGAGGTTAAATAGGTACGCATCCTGAGTGGGGTGGCTCATCAGAGCACCGTAGTAGCAGTAGTAGTAGTAGTAGTAATAGTCGTGTCATCAAGGCGTGATGAACGATTGAAGTACAGCATTCGGTTGGTGAGAATCAACTTGCAAGCTTCCACCAGCGACGTTTCCCAAGCTAGAATAGCCCACACAGCTGACGTGTTTTTGCCTCGAAGAGCCCAGCGAACCTTAACCAACCCCAAAAAAAAAATGTACACATCTGTATGCGATCTTACATCCAAGGTTTGTTTGTTGCACAGCGCCAGCGTATGAGTTACGTACACGAATGTTGCAGGAAGACCAAACAAGAGACTTGCAGCATAAAAGGTGAAGACACACGAGGGGTGGTGCGTAGAGATGTAAAAAAATTTGGTGGCACTGAACTTAACTAACATGATTTAAAATGATTTAACATGGTTTAACGTGATGTAACATAATGCAGACGTCACTAAGACTGAAACTGGTTCACGCACGAGGAACCAGCAAACGAGAGTCACTACGCAATGCACACATGCGCCAAACACATGAGTGATCATTGAAACGCATTCCCGACCTTGCGACTTGAACGTTGCTGTATACTGCCGCATTCGCACGTTCGACCCCAGATCGAAGAAAAAGTGAATCAATGGCCTGTGATGGGGCGCACTGTATTAAGGTGCACAGCACCTTCAACGTGCAGTGAATACCCTTCAACCCTTCAACATGGTGTCATGACGAACGAATACATGTATACAATGCAACCTTTGGACACCTACTGAACTGCTCAGGTCAGGTGTACACCGCACAGTGAACGAGACAGCATTACAGCACTATGCATGTACAACATTCCCAACAAAAACGCCGGCGTCAAATGACCCTACTCATACTTGCCTCGCCCTGTACCACGACGTAGAAAACTCTGTGACCACATATTTCGATACAGCATTTTCTCTCACTAACGCTTCCACAACCGACTTGTGCAAAAACCGACCACAACCCAACCGTCCCTCCTCATCGCCCCTCCCCC